ACTTAAATATAACTTTATTTAAAGCTATTTTATGTATTATTATTGTTATTATTAAAATATGTTTGTAGGTACATATTAAACAAATATTTATCTATTTAATTAAATAAGAAATGACACTTTTCTTAATAAAGAGAGAAATATTAATAGAAAAATTCTCTCCAAATGATCTCAATAGTATGTATTCAAAGAACATATACAAATATTGATCAAGAATGGAACACTTAAATCAGAATGTGTATCTTTACATCGATTATTTAATAAAACAGCTAAATCTCTTGGACTTTTTTTAATATATTTATATGTAATATATAATTGACATGACTATTTTATTTTATAAAAAAATATATATACATCTAAAACTCGTTTTGTAACTTTTAAGATTTATTAAATTTGATCTAAGTATTAAAATTTAAAAACTTTTCACCGATTAGCTACAATGACTACTGTAGCCAATTAGCGATCTTAGGTGACAGAGGAGTTAGGGAGTATGACCAATCAAATCTACCCACGGAGTCCCATAAGAGGCTCGGGTTATACTATGACATTAGGTTCAATGTCACAGAAATCGCGCCGAAGATATTATATTAATTTGATCAATTATAATTAATTATTAAAGTAATTATAATTCATTATTATGATTAATTACCGCTCTGTTTAGCTTAATTTTATTATTTCTCCTTTTTCTTCATCCGGATTTAATATTCTTATTTCTCATATACATGTATTTTTGGATAAAAATACCCTTTTTTCATCTTATTTAGTCTTCCCATTTCTCATGTTTAATCATTTTTGTTAAGAATTTTTTGTCAACCTCCAATAAAAATATAGAAAATTCAAAACAATATCGAGACAGATGGAGTAGTAAATATTATAATTAACTAGCTAGTGATAACAAGAAGCTTCATCGCTACTTTATCATCAGTGATGAGAACATCATCACCTAAGATAGTGTAGTTGATGAAACTCCATCCGTCCCAGAAAACCTTTCTCCTTTCTTTTTTCATTCGTCCCAAAAAACACTTCTCATTTCTATTAAAAAGTCACTTTTACCCCTTACTTTTTCATACCCCACCTATCACATCATACCTTTTTACTAATAATTTATCCATCAAATCATACTTTAACCATCACATCAAAGGACATTTTTGGAAATTAAATACCAAAATACACTCCCCTTAAATCTCTCTCCAAAACCAAAACTCCCAGGTTTTCCGGGACGGAGGGAGTATTAAAGTGTTTACTTTAAAAATAGTACTCCGTATAATTTGTTTAATAATTTAGTGTGAGATCATTTGTCATCATTGTTTAATAAAGAGATTATCTCTCTCTCCATCCAATACTTTAAATAGTTGTGATGGAATTTAATTCTACGAAACATCCAATCACACATTAACGATAGAGATAAAATATCTTGTGATAGAGTAAGATTCAAGGATGGTACGAAATACTTCCCATATACTCTATGGAAAAAATATTTTCTCATATTTGGCCAAAAAAACTGTTCATGAAATATTTTTTCGAAGTTAAGAATCGTTTATAGAATATCTAAAAATGGGAGACTTGAATATGAAAAACCACCCGTAATTAGAAACCATTTATGAATTTAATTCTTTTTATTACGGAGAATCTAATTTAATTTCTTTGATTTCTGTATGAATAGAACCTGGTCCATCGGTCCAAAATGGTAAGTCGGTTAATACTGAGTAATATTAAGTGGGTCGGGTCAGAGTAATGGTCCAAGAAAGAAGGAATTGGGTTAGAAAGAGTCAAACCCAAGTCAGAAAAGCATAAGTACCGGATCGGGGGGATTGGACCCAGTCGGATCGAATTTATCCTTTAAGGCGAAATGGATCGGAATTGTTTTCTATAGCGACTTTTTAGAATTGGATTCCCTTTCATCCATGGCCATTTAATAAGAAACTCCCTTTGTTTCCAATTTCAATTTAAAATGTCTAGTTCAGTTTACAATATTCAATTGAAAATATTTTTTAATATAATTTATTAGAGAATTGAACTTGAATTGAAAAATAAGTTTTACATACTAAAAAATAATATCAAAACTATATTATTTTTTATTAATTTTATCAAATAAATAATGAAAATAAAGAAATAATGTTTGACCATATGAATAGTAAACAAGCAGCTTATTTGGATTGGAAAATGCTAGGGGTACAACAAAAGTGTACCCCAAACATCCTCCACCCCCTCCATCACCACAAAAAAAGGTTAAAAAAATCAAAAAAAAAAAAAAACAAAATAAAATGAATGATAGAAAGGGGAGTGGTGTACATTTGGGGTACACATTTGGTGTACCCCTAGCATATCCCTTTAAAATTTAATTCATAAATGGAAAATGTTAGGGGTACACCAAAAGTGTACCCCAAACATCCCCCACCCCCTCCATCACCACACAAAAAAGGCAAAAAAATCAAAAAAAGTACTCGGTAAAAAATAAAAAGAAAATAAAATGAATGGTAAAGAAGTGGAGTGATGTACATTTGGGGTACACTTTTGGTGTACCTTTAGCATATCCCTTCATAAATTGAGTATAGTATAGGGGTTGGGGGTGGGTAGGGGGTGGAGTGGAAAGAAAGGGATATGGGGTGGACAGAGGTGTGGTGACGTGAGTGGGGGGCGAGGTGGAGAGAGAATGAAAATTTTGTTTCTAATTTAGCGGAAATTATTTTCTCTCTAATGAGACAAATTATTTTTTGTGGAATTGTTTTTCATTAATGTCACCAAACAAAATCTTTCTTAGAAAATATTTTCTACTTACCAAACACACCCTAAATTATAAAAAAATATGTTCTTTTTAGCGGAAATTATTTTCTCCGTAATAATTACTACTCCTTTATTCGGATAATGTTTTGATTTTTTTTTATTTTTAAGAAAGATTGGCTAAATATAAATTTTTACAAAATATTATTGCTAGAAATGCTTAAACATGAGAAATGAAAAGATTAAATCCAGATAGACTGAGGATATTTTTGTCCAAACATACATGTATATGAAAATGAGAAAATAAAATTTGAATAAAAAAATGAGAAAATTGAAAATTAAATCTTGATTGAGGGGATAATTAATTATAATTAATCTAATTAATACAAAAAATAAAAAATTAAAATTAAAAAAATGAAAATAAAATTTGAAACTTAGAATTTAAGGTTAAAATTTTAGAATATAAATTTAAAATTAAATATTTAGATTTTAAAGTTTTAATATTATTTTCTAAATTTTTCAACTTCTAGTTTTGTATTTGTCATTTTGAGTTTCGAATTTTTGGAAATTATAAATTTAAATTTTATTCTTTTATTTATATTTAATTTTTAACTTTTGGTTTTTTATTTTAAATTATAAATCTTAGATTTAAATTTTTAGTTTTACATTTTTTTATTTTAAACTCTAAATTTTAAACCTTAAATTTTTAATTCTAAAATTTTAAACTTTAGATTATAATTGTTTAGCTTTATTTTTATTTATTAATTTTTAAAATTCAATATATTTAATTTTAAAGGTTATATTCTAAATTTTAAATTTTTTATTTGTAGTGTTTTATTTGGCATGTTTTAAGCACACCTGAAGTCTATAAAACCTGTTTGATTGACTCGGAATGCTAGGGATTCACATTATTTCATTTAGACGTGTATAATTTAAATTGTGGGTTTCAAAATCTTTCCACTAGGGTAAATTCCATAATTGATCCTTTATAACAGAGAGATTTCCATATTTAATTCCCTATTATCAAATACTACTCCCGTAGTCCTTCTTTTATGGGTTTCTTTTTCAATGAACTTGTTCCAAATGGAACAACGAGCATTCCCGAAGTTGCAATTTAGTCTAGGTTTGTTAAAAAAAATATGGACTATATTCGCGATTTTCGGACCATCTATTAATCATAGGTCAAAGTTGGATCTTAATTGGCTACAAAATTAAAAGGTCAAAATTAGACAAAAATTTCGAAGCTACGAGAGTTAAATATTGAACCCCTAAATAGTAAACACGTAATGCCCATGCTATAGAATGATTCATTGTTTAGATTCTATAATACCATGCTATATATTATCGTCAAAGTGAAAATTCTTTGAGATATGGTGATATACTCGCAGGAGATAAGTTCCCTTCTGTCCTATGGTAAGGAAATGCACGGTCTTTTTACAAAAATAAAAATAATAATAAAATATTTATGATGTGAGAATATTCTTTAAAAAGTAGTGTGGATATCAAGTCTACAAAATAAAACTAGAATACGACTTTCATATTTTTTTTCCCAAATAAGACATATAGGTCATTATTAGGTCATATTCTTTTTAACTCAATTTTTTCATTTATTAATTAACTTTATTAGAATATATCAATTCAGATTAACAACAACTTTAAATCACATTACAATTAGGTCAAATTAGATTCATGCAGATCTGATCTTATCAGTCTTTAAAAATTTTGATCAGGTTCAATAAGTTCATACGAAGAGATCTCAGCCAATCAACCATAATGCTAATAACGCCTACATTTAATTATAAAAAATGTTGTAGAATGTCAAATTTACGATATTATATTGTCAGAGAGTAATAGTCTCATTTTTGACATAAAACTATACTATATGTCACTTTTATTTTGAAAATAAGTGCTATGTCTTACTGCATACTTTCACCCAAACACCATAAAAAGAAAATGACATCCAGAAATATATAATTCTCTCTGTCCATTAATTTTTTCCACTTTCATTATTTTTGGTTCTTTGAAATAAATTAGGCATATTATTAAAAATGTAAATTAAATGATACGCTGCCTGTAGCTGCAGACTAATTTCTCTGAATCCCTTGTTTGTTCTTCTAAGAAGATTTTAAGATGTTACATCTCTTCAATCTCTTTCGAGATCACCGACTCCTCATCTTCTTCCATGCCTTCCGACCCATCTATGGAATTCAGAGGGTAGCCTCCTCCAAAATACTTTTTCCAGAAATGCCAAGTCTGATTTGTGTCTGAGGATTCACATCCAGAAACTTGCATGTCGTACTACCAACATTCATCATGGACTGGCGATTCAAAAAGATTTGGAGAAGGAGACCTCTATTCCTCGCTATCCGTAAGTAAATGGAAGGTGGGCATCGAAGAATATGAAGGTACCATTCGCTTAAACGACTGTATTATATATTTCACGTTTAATCTCGATAACCGGTGATATCTTTTGGTGGCCAATGACATTGTATGATGAGATGTATTATGTTTTGCCATTAATTAAGGTGTTGTTGCTCCAAGACATTATTATGGTACCCGATGGCATTGTGCGCACGTTACTACATACATTGATGAATAACATTATGGTAGAGAGCTTACTACTCAAGTCAAGGGAGAAGCTCTATCAAATTAATTATATGTTCTTTTTATTAGGGACTTGGCTTTGTATTATTCCTTAATTTGATATTTATCCATTTAAAGGGAATTTGGGGAGATAAGAAGAGAACTTTGTTATGTACCGTCCGCCCATCTTCCTTACATTTTTGATACCCTTATTGCTTAAGGAGTTCATTAAAGTGGAATATTATTATTACACGTATTTTAATATACAACGCCCCAAAAACTTCATATAAATATATCTCCACCTCAAAAACTCTCCAAACACCACAACAAACCAAACAACTAATCACATTAATAATAATAATAATATATAATATATAATACACATATATGGATAGTATAGTAAAGTTGGCATCACAAAAGGCTGTGGTGATCTTCACCAAGAGCTCATGCTGCATGTGCCACGTCATCACGAGGCTGTTCTACGAGCAAGGGGTGAGCCCCTTGGTCTACGAGCTGGACGAGGACCACGTGAACGGCCCCGAGATGGAGCGAGCCCTCGTCCGGTTCGGGTGCAATCCGGCGGTCCCCGCCGTGTTTGTGGGCGGGACGTTCGCCGGGTCGGCCAATACCGTCATGGCCCTCCATATCAACGGCTCGCTCAAGAAGATGCTCAAAGACGCCGGTGCTCTCTGGCTCTAGCTAATTACTGGTTGTCTATGGATGGGACGTTCCAAAATTTGTACCGCTCCACGTGTTAAACATCTGTAATTGGTTGAAAACTTTTTGGTTAACTAACAGTTTTCAAGTGACTACAGATAATTAACATATGGAGTGGGAGAGATATTGGAATGTTTATCTAAGCTCCACTCTCTTTGTACTCGTAATGTACTCCGTAATTAACAAATTAAACGAGAAGTACGTACTAACATTAACTAATAAAGGTGTTATTAATATAGTCCTCTTTCAAAAAAATACTCCAGTTAAAAGTTTTTCCATTTTTTCCATTCGTCGTACTACTTATCTTTTTTTATCGGAACTAAAAAGAACGCTTAATTTGAGACGGAAGAAGTACATGCCTATGAGCTCAATACGGCAGAATTAAGTACATGCATATGAGTTCAATCGGGCCAAGACAATTTTTTGTTGGGACTGGAAAAGTATAGAAGAAGGCCTAATTTTATTTGAAATGAAGTCAGGGAGTGAACCAATCCGAACTAACCCACTCCCCAATGCTCTGAGTAAAATGAGTCGCCCACGCTAACTGATGTTAAAACATTAGTGGGAAAAAATCAGAACTCAATTCTGTGCATTTGGTCTCTTTGCCTTAAAACAGAAAGATCTAACTCCCTGTCCCAACTCAATGAAATCCTGCAATTATTCCACATGCTCTGCCATCAGATTACGCAAAATAGCCGTTGCCTCGCCATCAATAACAAGAGAGCCATCACTTTTGAAGCATTTTGTGGAGAACTTGGCCCTAGAATGCAGTTAAAGCCAATCAAAAACAAGAGAAGCTCAAACTCGTATAAGTGGAAGAAAAAGAAGAACTAAGCTTAACATACACATATTTCGTTTTCAAATGCTTGATATTCGTTGTGCATACTTTGCCAACTATCTCCTCTCCGATATACACAGGCAACTTGAAATTTAATGTTTGAGAAACATATACAGCTCCTGGCTATAATTGGAAAAATCCAAACATCGACTCAAATTCATAGAGTATGGTTCACCATATATATTTTTGATAAAAGAAGGAAAGTTAATGAAGGGTCTTACAAAACTTGAAGCGATTGTTCTTGGAAATATGGAGGCAACGAGCATTCCAGGAACAATCCTGTCGCTGAATCCAGCATCCTTGGCACATTCAGGATCAAAATGCAAAGGGTTTGTGTCATGGCTCAGTTTCGAGTAAGCAAGCACATCGGCATCGGTAAATACCCGAGCTTGCTTCAGAATATCCCCACATTTAAGAAAATTGGTAGCTACCAATGAAGAGAATCTACTGGAAGAGGAAACGTAGCTCCGACACACATGTTTCACAAGCATCATTCAGTAATCCCGTTAGTTTGTCACATCTGAAGATTTAATTTAGGCAAAGGAGACATCTATCTGCTTGAACCTATATAACTTGATGATTGAATATTACAGGAGCAATTTACCAAACCTGCAAAATGTTCAGTTTGATCCAACTGGAGAAATAAATAGGTGAGCAGAATGTTCAGTCATATCTCAAAGGATCTTTTTGGTAAAACAAAGGATCGGCGTTTTTGTGCTTCAATTCGCCAACGCTAATATTTTTATTGTGTCTTGATTATTTAATGTATGAATTTTAGCATTAGTTTTAATTTTATTTAAATGTTTTAGTTTTAGTCTTCGAAATTTTTATTGCTTTTATCTTTTTAGTTTAATTATTTGAATTAAAAAAAGTAATAAAAACAATACCCCAGAGTAGTAAAAATTGAAGGGGACTAAACACCTTGGGCTACTAAACACCTCTGAGAATAACCTCTGAGAATTAAACACGTATTAGTGATAAAGAGTGTGATAAACTGGTTGAAAAGATGACTCTGAGAATAACCTCTTGGGCTACTAAACACCTGTCTTATGCTGGGAGGGCTAAGTTGATTAACTCCGTACTTAATGGAATAGCAGATTTCTGGGGTAGAATATTCTTACTACCAAATTCAGTCATGAGGAAAGTAATGGCACTCTGTAGAAATTTCCTTTGGAGTTCTGGCCCAGTATACAAAAGGTGTCCCCTGATCAAGTGGGAGGAAGTCTGTCTTCCCAAACAAGAGGGAGGTTTAGGGTTGAAGAATCTGTTACTATGGAACCAGGCATGTACAATGAAACTCTTATGGGATATCTCTAATAAAAAAGACTCATTGTGGGTAAGATGGGTTCATAGTAAATATCTCAAGGAAACAATTTGGGGGTATAATATTAAGAATGATGACTGTTATTATTGGAAGAAACTGATCCAAAATAGGAAATTATTTGCAGGGATGAATACTTCTAATGGCTATATTGTGTTGGATGGGTATGAGTGGCTTAAAGGAGCAAAGGAGAGAGTGGCCTGGGCTGAGATGGTATGGAGCAGATGGTCTTTGCCCAAACATCAATTTGTTGCTTGGCTCATTTGGAAAGGAAGGATTCAAACCATGGATAGACTTAGCAAGTTCCTCTCTATTGATACAACATGTGTGATGTGCGAGAAGGAGTTGGAATCTGCAGATCATATCTTCTGCTCTTGTTCTTATGCCAAAGAAGATGGAAATGGGGAGAAGCAGAAAACAGAAATGGATCTTGGCGGCAAGCATCAAAGCGTGTTGCTACTATATCTGGAAGGCTAGGAATACAAAGATTCATAGTGGTAAATGGGTCAATGAGGAGTATACTTTTAGCTGTATTAAAACAATAGTTGGTATGTGTGTTGGTGGTAGAGGCACTGTAATGGTGTCCTAGTCTGGAGGTTTTTTTTTTCTTTTCGACTTAGTGATGTTTAGATGTGTTGGGGTGCTGTATGGAGTTGTATTTGATACCTTGATGAGTGAATGAAAATTTTTTGTGCTTGGTTCAAAAAAAAAAATTGAAGGGGAAAAGGGGAAGGCATTTCCCTGGAAAGAGAAGGGAAGGGGAAGGGAAAGCTAAAGCTGATGTGGCGCTGAGTTGGCGAAAGGGAAAATGAGAAACCATGAGGGCACACCTCATGGCCTAACAGTCCATACTTCATCAATTTTTCATAGTTTTCTTTTTCTATGGGAACAACAAAAACACTGACAAGATTTAACTTTTACGGTAACTTAATGAAAAAAAACAAGTACACCAACTATATGCGATTAGAGCAGAAAACTAATGAATCATTAAAAAACAACATAACATGCCATAGAGGTCCGCATATAAATATATACTGGTAATAGATGTACAAGAGCTCCCAATTCCCAAGTTTAGATCTGCATTATGGTTTACTCAATAATAAGTTCCAGATATGTTCACAAACACGAATGACCAGTAAACCAATTACTCGTATCATCGTATGTAGAAAAGAAAATGCAAAAGAAGAAAAATAACAATAAATAAAAATGTAGCACATAAACTACCAGAGAAAAACACAAACAGTATAAGAAATAGCAAATTTGTGAACCCTAGGCTTCGGCTATTCAACTTCAAATCCACAATTAACTGATTGCATGGGAAAAATAACCCAAATAATATGTAACATAAACCAAGCATTCCAAATATTCAACATTATTTCAAAATTGAAAAATCTAGAGTCGGGGTTTCCGCACGGCAGCGGATGGAAGCGGCTGGTTAAGGTTAAGGCTGGTGCTATCCACTGCCGTTTCGGTTTACTGCAAATTTAGGAAAGGGGAGGACTGAGGTGCAATGGCGGAGCAAGGATGGAAATGTGGGAGGGGTACCAGTTTCAAACAAATATTCAAAAAAAAATAAAATTAAAGTCTCGAGATCAAATTCGTCCATAGACCATAGCTATAATTCCTTATAAAATGACAGTATCACTAGTTATACAAAATTCAATTAATTTTTTTAAGTTCCAGCAAACCAATTGCTTCATTTTTTAAAATCGGAAATCAATTAGTTTACTGAACATTAAAGAAAAAGCAATTGCATACTCAATAAATAATGATGGAGGGGAAATAGGAAACAAAAACCCAATTTGGTTAACCAAAACACGTAGTATAAATTGATCATCATGAATTCATGATCAACAGCTTAACAATTAAAAGATCGAAGTCTTCAAACAAACAAAAAACAAATACCTGGAGGCCGAGAAGGGCTGAGGTCTGGCTTCCGGTAGTCAGGGAGCAGAGGAAGCCGGAAGGACCGAAGCTTGAATGATGGAGTAGCCTGCGGGAGCCGATCCAGAGGTTTGAGAATTGTTTTTAATCATACCCTATATTGTTTATCCAGTTTTTTTGTATTGTTGGATTTGTTGCATAATCTTATTTAATCACATTCATAAATGTAATAAGATGTCCCTTCCCGGACATCCGATAAAATAAATGTAATAAGATAAAATTAGATCAAATTTAATTATTATTATTATTATTATTATTGCAACATATTATTTTTAGGAAAAGATGTATGAGGTCATTGAGAAACATGTCTAGTCACAAAAAAAGATAATATCCATCTTGACTTATTTGGTCAAAATATAACAATGAAAACCTTTAAAAGTCAAATAAAAACAATATTTCTGAATAGAGAGTATTATTATTATTATTATTATTATTATTATTATTATTATTATTATTATTATTATTATTATTTCAACCTATCATATGGCATGAATGGTTCTGGTATAATATCTAATATAATATAATCTGATGATTTGGTTCGAATGTACTTATTGGTAAGATCTAAATTCAATAATAAAAAAAGTAATAAGTAATAAAAATAAATTGAAGAGAAATGACATAAATCTCATATCGAACCAAAATATTTGGTACAATGTTGCTACGAGCTCACCCCTGCTACTTTATAATTCAGTCAAATTATGTCTTCATTTCTTTATTTTTTTCTATAATCATTTTTTAATATAAAATAATAAAATTACTTTTTACTTGCAATATTATTTATGAGACTTTTCAAATATAAAAATTTATTTTAATAGTTAAATTAACATTTAAATAAATTAAATTAAAAAAAATGAACCATCTCTCTTTCAAAATGTGAAAAATTAATTAGGGAGGGAGGGATTAGATTAGATGGAGAGAGGTTTTAAGGAGTATTTTACTCCGTATATAAGGAGTGTGATTAAAATAAACATTTTATCTAACACAAAACGTATGAAACACAGTCTTGGTAATAAATTGTTAAATTCTCTTCAATTTTTTTGCATTTCTTTCTTACCTTGGTAGTCTTGACTCTTGATCCATCAGTTTCCTGGATTTGTTGATCTGCTTTGTCTGCAACGAGGGCTAAGTGCTGATCTTTGCTTTAAAGCTCTTCTTGGGGTGTCCTGGTTAGCGGTTTAAGGCTAAAAATCTCATCTTGTGCATCACAGAGAGGTAAAATCGAGGGTTTTCTCAGATGGGGTTTCTTGGGACGGCGAAGAAGGTAAGGTGTTGAGGATGAAGATTTAGAGATAGACCCCTGTATGTATCGGTGAGCTTGGTGTGGGTGGGGTTTCATCAGGGGTTGGCTTAATTTGTATAGATTCGTGATGGGTGGGTGTTTCCCTTGCTTTGGATCATCAACCAAGGGAGTAAATAGGGTGAAAGAGGTGGCTAAAGAGTCTTTCAAGGATGGCTCTGCTGCACAGCCTAACAATGTGAACAAACTTAGTGCAGGTCTCTTCTCACTTCTCCAGATCCCTTTTGCGGTCAATAATTATTACGGAGTATAAATTTTAAATATGCATTCCTGTTTTTCTTGGAATGCTTTGGACCCTTTATGAGCTCTATTTTGGTGCTGAAGTTTTACTGTGATGAGACTGTTTTTAGCAGTCATTTTCGTTGTGTTGATCTCAGTGTTGTTTTCTATAATTGGATTCATAGGTTTGAGGTGTTGACCATGACATTATTATATTTTTTTTCTTCAAATTGTAGCTACGTTTTAATACTAGTGCATATCTGTGGTCTCATTTAGCCGCAAGTCTAAAACTGTTAGCACCATGATTGCTTCAGAAAATGGCTACTAAAGACCCTTGACTATGGGCATGGAAAACCATAGTGTATGAAATGCCTTGGAAATAGCTTTCACAGGAATAATGTAGAGAGTCATAGGTGCGCTTCTGGCCAGAAGAAGTCATATCCTTGATCGTTGGTGCTCGGCATGGTTTTTAGGTGATTAGCCTTGTGTTCACAAATTAGGAGAATGTTCTTATAGACAGACACTTCACAGGAGGGACATTGCTTATTACCACCTTCATCTTCTTGCTTATAGGGATTTTTAATGTAGATATTTGACATGATCACGTAAATTGGTGTTATTTTAAACTGATACCGAGTATAAAACTCACTCCTCACACTATGTGTCACAGTTTGTTGGGGTAGAGGTAGGGTCTGTGTACATCATGCCTTCTAATGAGATTTCCCGGGTTTGTTTGGATTGGTTGCTTTATATATTAGCATAAAACATAGTAATCAAATCCTTCATATTTAAAAGGGAAGTACTTATTCAAATGATATCACTGTTTTTCCATGTTTTTTTAAACATGCAGATAAGAGTAAATCTCGGAATAATAATGATTCCAAGAAAGAGCCAACTGTTGCAAAAGATGGTACAACAGCTAACATTGCTGCACAAACATTTACATTTCGTGAGCTTGCTGCTGCAACAAAGAACTTTAGGAGTGAGTGTTTGCTTGGTGAAGGTGGTTTTGGACGTGTTTATAAAGGCCAGCTAGAGAGCACTGGGCAGGTGAGTACTCTTTCCTGAAACTCAACTATGCAAGAACATACCAAATGGCCTTTGGCGTATTTATCTATGGATTTTGATTCTCGGCTTAACCATTATTTCTTGTCAATTTATTATACTCCCTCTGTCCCAAAATAAGTTTCCATAGTTGACTGGGCACAGTTGTTAACAAAAGTAAAACTGTGTGGTTGGGATTTGAGGAAAGTGGAACCTTTCTTTGGATCTAAGAGAAAAGAAAATGTGGAACCCTTTTAATGGACATGAGTAGTCTTATAAGTCTTAGAAGTTGGATCTCTAGTGTGATTTTGTTTAAGTTGCACTCTTATATGACATATATTTCTCTAAAATAAATGGTTGTGTTTGCAGGTAGTTGCTGTTAAACAGCTTGATCGAAATGGTCTTCAAGGGAACAGAGAATTTTTGGTAGAGGTTCTAATGCTTAGCCTCTTGCATCACCCCAACCTTGTCAACTTGATAGGTTATTGTGCAGATGGCGACCAACGCCTCCTTGTTTATGAGTTCATGCCTTTGGGTTCTCTTGAGGATCATTTGCATGGTTAGAATGTCTCTCACCTTCTCTTGCTCTCTCATTGTGTTCATTCTTCCATTTAATCATTTATCATGCTATAGTTACTTCGCATTTATTATTTGACATCAATTCCTCTTTAAAAGCTCGCACTTTTTATGAATATCTCCCGTAGTAACATGTGTATGCATATATTATGCACTTTTCCTAATAGTGATATGCATATGTGCAATAGAAGGCAAATTTTATGCCAAGTATTGTATGCCTAGAATCACTGTCCCGGTTTTCTTTGTGTTAAACTTAAAAATTCCAATCTGACTATAGCTTGTAGTTGGGAAAAGCATTTATTTCACCGATCTATTGAAGCTTAAGCATGATAATGGAGATGTATAGCAGTTATTCAACATGTCATCTGATTTAATTTTAATTATACAATGCTACAGAAAAATATATATTTCTTAGGAAAAATGTCGAGAATAATCCAACCTATTGCTAAGCCACTTAAAATAATATTTAACTATAAGCTATTTTAAAATAATCGAAACTATTGATATACTCTTCTGAAATCAGAGTTATGACCTGTGTAAAACCTGTGATGGCATGTTATATTTTGAATCTTTTTACAATTCCTTCTTTGCATTTGTTATTATTAGTTTTTTTCTTTTTTTAAAAAAATTGAAAATTTTTAATATGAAAAATTTCAACAAAAATCTCCCTCTATTCGAAAGTATGTTCTCATTTAACTTTTCACACTTCATTATCACAATTTAACCATTAATATTTATGTGTATACTCTCATCCCACCAAGATCTTTTTATTTTATGTTTTGGATGTCATAAAAAATTTCATACTTTCAACAACAATAACATTACCCCAGTGCCTCAAAGGCTCCCCACCCATTGCGGGGTAAGGGGTGGTCGGTCGTACACTCGTACACAACCTAAACCCTATGTTTAAAACATAAAGCGACTGTTTTCAGATTACCCATAATTAACCTTGACAGTTGCATCGACTAATTGCTACTTCATTATAAAAGAAGCACAAACATTTCAAAGATATTTTGCCTTATTCCATCACACCCCAAAGCCAAAAAATTCTTACTTTATTTCCTCTTACAGATATGAATATGTGGCTTATAAACGTTTTTCTCTCACCCAAGTAAATTTCAACCATTTTCAATTTCAACACTTTAACTCCGTGAAACTCAAACAATGATTTTTTTGGGGGGTGGATGGAGTATATAAATAAATATTACGTAGTATAGAATGTGTTATTTTAATACAACACTTTGAACTCAATCAAATGATAATACATTTACATTATAATTAACTTAGTTTTTTTTTAAATCAAATTCAAACTTACAAACTTGACCAAGAAAAGTTAAATGAAAATCTTATTTTGGGACTCATAGTGATTTATGTAGTAGGTTTTTTTTTTTAATTTTTTAAAAAGGTTTTCTTTTTAAAACATATACTCTGTATTAGTTAATGTTTAAAAATATGAAATCAAACAATATTAATAGTTTACAATTAGTATCTTAGGAAATGTGAGACAAATTTTTAAAAATACACTAAAATAAATGTTAGACAACTTTAAAATGATAGAATTAAAAAAATAAAAGTAATATATTTTTATAGAATAAATTTATCCGATTCACGGGTACATATGGTGGACCGGATTGATCATTCTCATCAAATTTTTCAAAAAAAAAACTAGTATAACATGTCGTAGGTAGTCACGGTCTATTTTGAGAAAACTAGAGCAATAATTGGGATTATATTGAAATAACCTATAGTCGGGATTATATAGAGCGGACCAGCAATAGTTGAGATTATTTTCATCAATTTTTCCTATTTCTAACATCCTTGAATTTAGTTAATAAAGTATAAAACTAAAAGGTGATTTGGTTGAATAATTCTTGTGATTGGAAATAAACTAATCTGAGGAAGCTTGGTCAAATCTTATTTTGAGCTTGGGACGGTTTACGTTGTAAAGTTAGACAAGAAAATTAAACTGTTCTTCGGGTTAGCAGAATTGCCATCTGAAGTGCACACTAGTATAGGATGTAATCAAGGATTCCAAGGATTAAGGAATGCAACCTTTTGTGGATGAAGATAAAGATGAAAAGCCATTGTAATTTGAGACAACTTATAATGGAAACGATGGGTTATTGCTATCTCCATCCCAAAATAAACTTCTTTTTTTTTGGGTCGCCCAAAATAGACTTCTCATTCCTTTCAAAGAAAACATTGAATGTTTCACATTATTTCTCTCTTATGCATAAATCTCAACCACACATTTTTTTTCATAAACTCCGTGAAAAAATGAACAGAAAGTTTAATTTGGGACAGAGGGAGTAGTTAGGTTGGGTCATATTCATCTTGTTTTGGGCAATTGGAGATAACTGTTATGAAATTCTACTATATATTCATGTTCATATAAGTATTTATAGTGACAGAAATCCCACATTTGTTTCTTCATCACTCTACCTGTGGTTGGGGTTTTATAGTTCTTTTATAGATCATTTCAGCTCAATGACAAGTTACGTCTGATTGTATGGCCATTGAAACATAATACCCCCTCCGTTCCAAAATAAACTTCATGGTTTGACTTCACGGAGTTTAAGAAAAGTTTTGAAAGGTAAAAAAGTATTATTGATTTTTTTTTTTGGAGAGAAAACTTGTGAGACACATGTTTCATTCATAAATAGGAAAAAGGAAAAGTGTGTTTTTTGGGAAGGAAAGTGTAAAGTTTATTTAGGGACAGAGGAAGTATAATATTACTTCAAGAAAAGTTTTCTCGTCAGGTTGTGAGGAGATAAAATTTATGAATGAATGTTCAATACAGTACTTTCTTGCAAATCAGGTCATGCTTAAACAATTGCTCATCCACCAATGCTTTTAAGAACAAACAGTGTTCATGAGTCGTTCATCATCATCATCATCACCTTAATCCCAGCTATGCTTAGGTCAGTAGCGTGAGGCGTGAAGTGAGAGGCCTCTCACTTTCTTTTCTAGGTTTTCCCATTTTGAACCTCAATCCATCTTCTATCTCCAGGTTTTCGGTTATATAATCTCCGTATTGATCCTGACACCACCTAATCTCTGTATTGATCCTGACCTTGTTGTTTTACCTTTTGCCTTGGTTGTTGAAAACTTTTCATTGAAAAATTCACCTCAACTTTGTTTATTACTTTTCAACTTTTTATTCCATTTATCCAAACTCTAGAGACTCCAGTACCATGTTCAAGTTACCAGTTAAAATTTTCTTTTGTTTCATAGTATATTTAATCTAGGTTTCAGTTACCAGATTTTGGTTTCCGATTACCAGTTTCCAGATTCCAGTCTCCAGACTCCACACACTGAACTCTAGTTAAAATTAAAGCGAATAAGTACAAGGCTTAGTGTCTTACTCCATGGACATATTTTAATCTTATTAGAATAAATAAATGTTAGTAGTTATTTCCTCTCTTTATTTATACTAAATTAGGACTTAGGAACTATGATCTCTGTGAACCTTCATTGTATTAAGTTGATGTGGGGAACACTTGTCATCAGATCTAACACCAGACAAAGAGCCATTGGACTGGAACACGAGGATGAAGATTGCAGCTGGTGCAGCAAAAGGGTTAGAGTATTTGCATGACAAAGCAAATCCGCCTGTGATATACAGAGATTTGAAATCTTCAAACATACTTCTTGGTGAGGGATATCACCCAAAGTTGTCGGATTTTGGGCTTGCAAAACTGGGCCCCGTTGGAGATAAGACTCACGTGTCTACACGAGTGATGGGAACATATGGTTACTGTGCTCCCGAGTATGCTATGACTGGTCAGCTCACTTTGAAGTCTGATGTTTACAGTTTTGGGGTTGTCTTCCTTGAACTCATCACCGGACGCAAGGCAATTGATAACTCAAGGACTCCCGGAGAACACAATCTTGTTGCATGGGTATTTTTTTCTACTTTTTCATCAGTTGTTTATACTCCCCTCCATCCCAAAAAAGTTTTCTCACTCTCCTTTTTCATTTGTCCCAAAATAATTTTCTCAGTTTTTCTTTCCCTTTTTGGAAAAGAATATGCAATCCAAAATATTTCCATCTCTTCTTAACAAATTCTAATCACTCAAATTTCAACTTCTTTTCATCTTTTTGATACTTCTATATTAAATCAAGTGGGAAACTAATTTGAGACGGAGGGAGTATGTATATTGACAAGGCTCTATAATGTATTGTTAATGGTGTAGAATGCTGTACTTTAAGGGGCTGTTTGAATGAAGGGCTTACTCTATTTCTTGATGTAATTCGTATGAAAAAGTATGGAGTATACATCAAGATACAGATTAAGCTCTCCAAAGCTTTCATTTTCAAACGGGCCATAAAAGTTCCGAATAGTTGATTCAATAAATAGTGCAGTTTTATTGGTCTGAGTTTATTTATTTAACAAGATCTTGTGCCGTCCCTTTGTTCTTGTAGGCCCGGCCACTGTTCAAAGACAGGAGAAAGTTCCCTAAAATGGCAGACCCACTATTGCAAGGGCGTTATCCTATGAGAGGACTTTACCAAGCACTTGCCGTGGCAGCCATGTGCTTACAGGAACAAGCTGCGACAAGGCCCCTAATAGGAGATGTTGTGACTGCTTTGACATATCTTGCCTCTCAAACATACGACCCGAACGCATCAGCCCGCGTCGGTTCAGCTACTCCCAGGCGAAACACGTGTGGGGCCCACAGCCCAGACGACCACAGCTCCTCCCCTTCCATCCGGAGAAGAGATTCTTTCAAGACTGGTGGTGCAGCCGAACTGAAAAGGGTCGAAACTGGAGGCAGTGGTGGTGGTGGTTCTGCAAGGAAACTGGGTATGGACGAATCAGAACGGTCCGATTCTCAAAGAGACAGCCCAGTGGGCAGAGCCAGAGATGCCCAGAGGAACCGTGACATTGACAGGGAACGCGCGGTTGCATTGGCAAAGGTATGGGGGGAGAATTGGAGGGAGAGAAAGAATAAGGCTGGCGCAGGGGGCAGTTTTGACAGCACGAACGATTGAGAAAAACAGAAAGTTTGGGTTTTTTTTCAAGGTCATTGGTCGCAACGCATACATCTTTTCAGTGGTATGTTTGGGTCGATTCTTTTCCGCGTTGAAAAGGGACGGGGATGTGTCGTTTATGGTGAACGAACTTACTCTGTAAAGTAGGGATGGGGATATACATACATACATGCATACATACATACATGTTGATCTTTGTATTTAGGGGTTTCATGAAGTTGCAGATGCCAAAAAAAGTTGGGAAGAAATATGTATTTAGGTCTCTCTTCTTCTTTTTTTTTTAAATTTTAATATTTGTCTTCAATGTGAATGTGTATTTTGGTATAATTGTATGTGCATTAAATGTTGGGTGAGTTTTCTGAACTCAAGTTTCATATAGCCATTTTTTTGGGGGGTGATGTGATGTTCACATGAATGCAAATATATTTATATCCTTGAAGGAAATGCCACAATTGACACTACTTTTTGGCGCCAATATCAATGTTTGTAAAGACTCACTTAGAAAATTATAAATGAAACAAAAAAGAAATGGTGTTAAAACCTAAGACAACATTAAACTTTTCTGCTTTGGAATAACTGAATGCCATAGCAAAACATTTTGTTACTGTCTTTTTATTTATTTTTGACTACTTTGCTTCAGTGCTTATTTGTTTATTCCAGTTTGAAAATGAAACGGTTAATTGAGTATGTGAAGTAAATTTTCATTTACTCCCATTGATGATTTTACTAAATACTCCGTAATATAATGGTATTATATCTTATTTTGCAAGTTTTCTAACATATATTTTAAATATATAATACGAGTAAATTTTTCAAAGTACGTAGCATTATTTATTTTTATAGCATAAACCAAATTGTGTTTCTATTTCGAGGCGGAGGTAGTATCATTCAGTTAAGATTCTTCAAATCCAATCAGTCCAGACTTGGAAACAAACCAGTTCAAGTTAAGCCACAAAATGATACCCCATTCCTACCTTGTACTAACAAAATTAAAGGATTTCCTATGGGGGGTTTTCCACTTGCTATAACAACATGACTTTGAAATCAGTTGAGTGAACAACTTCACATATAAACAGATAGATCTACTCGGTACATTTTTACTAGTCACGATAACATAATTACTTCTTCTATCGTTCCGTAGAAGGAGAAGAACACAAAGCAGCTTGCCTCCATCTCATGATTCCTGCATGCTTCCAAGATTCATGTCCAAAATGTGCAATGTCTACCGGACAGTACGCGTTTTTCTCTTTTAACCAAAATGGGAAGGCTCCAAAAGAATCCAGCAAAAGAGTTGAAATTTCATATCATTTCTTCTTTCGTCCCTGGGCAGTGGGAGGAAAATGATTTTAATTACTTGAGTGAAAAAGAAACATTAGGGAAATGGGAAGTGAAAAGTTTCAGAATCTGAGAAGTATATAGTGTTACCGAATTGACATAATCATCCATAGATGACTGCTTCCGTTTCTTTGAGTTTGGAGGGCTCTCTGCAGTCTGCCTTGGCAGAGCAGGCCGCTTTGAAGTCGTGGTCATCTGTGTTAAGAATGGTAATTAGTTTGACACCAAAGTCCCAAATCTCAAGAGTTTAGTTTCTGTTTTTTTTTTTTTCATTTTTGGAACAAGAAAACAGGAAAGTAGCAAACCTTGGCAAGTTTCTTTTCCTTCCGGGCCTGTCTCTCCTGCTCGTCATATTCTTGGTTTTCTTTCTCAATCAGTCTAATGAGGGTATCACACCTCCTTGCCAATTCCTGAGCAGTTCGAGACTTGACAAACCAATCAAAACGGAACAAAGGGGATGTGCGGAATGCAGCTTTCAACTCATCCCAATTTCCATACCCTATCTTGTGAACCATGCACATCTGACAAGAAGAAAAAGATTGAGAAAAAATCATCAAAATATGAATGAATCCTCCGGGAAAAAAAATAGGAACCTAAGAAAGGAATTTTAACAAAACGTACCATAAAACGATCACATTCCTCGTTGTAAAACTTGCCCTTGTTCTGACCATACTGGATCTTTAACTCTAGCCATGGGTTCTTGTAACGATCCAATTTTTTCCCAATTGCTTTCATGATCTCATCTCTTCGGGAAATTCTTGCTTCTCCTCTTTCAATGTTCTTGATGATCCTATCGTAATCTGAAAATACAGATCATTAAAATCAAAACTCAAACTTGTATGCTGGACATACAACACAGCAGAAGTGCTTTAAAAAACTACTTTTTTACCATTTAATTCTTTGTATCTTTCTTTGAAAACTTTTGCATATGTTTCGACTTCCTCTTCTGTTTTCCCTTCAATTTCAGCTGCAATGCTTTTAATATCATTACGGCCATATTTCTCGCAGGCCCTGATGAAAGTATTGAAGTCCCTTCTGCTCCACGATGAAAATCCCTATACATCAAAAAGTCTTCCAGATCATATAAAGTGGGTAAGTGTATTATTTCTTTGATTTTGAAACATTGCAGTCACTTACACGTTCCAAGAGGCGTTCTTTTTCTTCCTGTTCTTCAGGAGTCAAAGGTTCTCCAACATCTAGGGAAAGTATGATTGGTTAGAAAGAACATGATAACAATGGACACCGAGATGCTCTCATCAGAAATTCTGTTCATAGTAACACACCTTCTGTTTCCTCCATATCTATCGTGTCTTTCATTTGAATCTTCTGCTGTCGTTGCTGTAATAAAGAATCGTGAATGAGTCAACACAATGAGGGTAAAGAAGTGAATTGAACTTAAATAAAAAAAATGGACCCACCATGAGGCAACGAACTTCTTTCTCAAACAGCTCACTAAGTCTCTGTGTGTTGAAGAACTGGAAGTCATGCCTACAAGACACATAAATAGGGAAAGAAAAAAGGAAAGTGGGTTTAGGCCCAAACAGATTAGATATTACTAAAAGAAAGATATCACTGGAGGTGCCTAGTGCTTACAGCTGAGGCATGCGAGGAATTCGAGGCTCTTTGGGTTTTGTAGGGCCATTTTGACGCATTGTTTGCTTGAAGTATTCTGACTCCGAGTAACTAATAACAAAGAGGGTCAACTATCATAAATACAAAGAGAACTTATTATGATATGGATAGTCAGCTGAGACTTTTAGATGCATACTTCCGCTTTCGTTCTCTTCTTGGTGGCTCAATCCAATTTTCACTAGCAATCTTCTTAAAATCAACCTTGCTTTCATCCTTCATTGATAATTAAGCAAATCAGAAATGCGTCACACACACACACACAACCAACCCAAAAACATTAGATTGTACGCAAACCTTTTCATCGTCAAAGTCATAGATATCAGCCGCTGCACAAAAATGAGAAATAGATAAAGCCCTCACCCTAACAGAGTAAAACATACTCCATATAGTATAAAATATGACACAACGAAAAGATAAACAACGTACAGTCATCCATCTTAAATTTGATGGCATCTTCTGTAAACTTCTTCATCTTAGCATCAAGTTCAGCTGTTGCCTCCTCTCCTTTAGCAATGATCCTATCAATATCTTCATCTGTGATGGTGCTATCCTTAGAACTGAAAACCATCTCAGCACCAAACCTAACCATCTGCAGTAGCTCATCCTTATTCACAGCTGTTAAGTATCAAGTCAAGGATTCAACATTAGTTTATCAAAACTCCAACTATATTTTCAAAAAAGGAAACTATGCATAATCTTACTTTTTTGTTCTGCCAGTCGCCCTTGCTGGATAACCAAAGCATCAAGCGCAAGCTTCTTGTAAGCTCTTTCAATCACCTTTTCCTCAATTGCATACTGCTCATAAAAATTACAATCGGCTAACGTCAATTTATGTCAATGCTTGGTTAACTCAATAAAATTATAAAACAAGACAAACCTCAGTGCAGAATCGGAACACTTGCACTTCCTTCTTCTGACCAATCCTGTGAGCACGATCTTGTGCTTGCAAATCAACCTGTGGATTCCTGCAAAATGGTGAACACAAGACTGTTATGTTAAAATTATAATAATGAAGCATCCAGGTTGCATGATCCCGAGCTACAACTCAACCTGTGGATTTCTGTCAATTTTTACCAAAGTACATAAAAGCATCCAGTGCCACCAAACAGAGTAAGTTGAATTTTCTTACCAATCACTGTCATAAAGTATTACAATGTCTGCAGTGGCCAGATTGATTCCAAGACCCCCAGCCCTAGTGGATAACAAGAAAGCAAACTTCTCACTGCCAGGCTTGTTAAAGGTTTCAATGGAAGCATCACGATCCTCCCCACCGGTATTTCCATCAATCCTGCAATATTGATGGCCACGGTACATCAAGTAATCTTCAAGGATATCCAAAAGTCTGGTCATCTGCATTGCAAGATCAGATGAAATTGCTTAGTCAATGCCCTCTCAGAGTCACAAAAAGGAAAGTAAGAATCATACTGAGTAACATTTATACGCATATACAGACCTGTGAGAATATTAACACCCTTGAACCACGCTCCTTTAGTTTTGGTAGCAGTTTATCCAGAAGAACCATTTTGCCTATGATAAATACATAAAGACAAATGGCAGCATAAGCAATCAAATGTAATGCAAACAGTATATACAGAAAGACAGATACAATGATCCATTAACATTACCAGCATTCTCTATAAGATGCTCTCCGGTAGTATAAGGTGGTCCTGGTTCAGCTCCCTGAAAAAGATATGGATGGTTGCAGCATTTCCGCAGCTGCATTGCTATATTTAAAAGACGCTTGCGCTCTCCACCAGAATTTATAACTTCTAGATCTTTTTGCAACAAAGCTTTATAATACTGCTTCTGCATTTGGGACATGCCAACCTTGAGGATTGTTTCTTTCTTTGGGGGAAGACCTTTCTCAACATCAGACTTCAACCTCCTGAGGAGAAATGGTCGAAGGACCTGTGTTTGGAAAATGATTCATTAGACAGCCAAAACAAACCAACCAGACGTGATGTGATTAATATCTTTAAAATCCAAGGCTGAGAACTGATAGGAATGTTGCAAAGCACAAGATACTAGAGTTATAGTACATAAGGTTTTTGTCTCGTGCAGTTTGCAAGAGCAGCACAATTCTTTGGAATCCATGTTTAGCAAGAAAAATCACATAAACAAAGGTACTTGTTTAGAAACTGCTAACATAAGTGTCCAAAGATAATTCCTCAAATATGATTACTCCCTCTG